TCTGATAAAAAAATGTTCTGATATGATAGGATTCTTATTAAGACTCTGATTTTTAGAGATGGGAAAATATTAAATAGTTTTTTTTTACTTTTATTATCTTATCATCAGCAAGCTGTCGTAGGATCGTATATTTCATATATTAATTTAGTACAAGACGTAGCAGAAACGTGAGTATCTTGACGATAAGATGATATACTTAACCCTCTGACAAAAAAAAATTTTTTATTTATTATTGTTGTTATTTTAATGTCGATATAAATATTTCAATAAGTCTATTTCTTCTTTTTTATTTCAAAAATTTTTTTTCTACAAAATTTTTTTCCCAGGTATTTAATTTATGACTTACTACAGTCAGTACAGGTAATTTTTATTTTTACGGTATGTTGAAGACGTTCAATAAAAGTACTAGCAAAAGTCTAGCAGAAGTAAAAATATTTCTTGAAATTATATTCTTGGTGAAAGTAATTTTTTCTTAATTCAAATTATCATAAATACTTGATACAATAAATTTGTATACTTGATCAAGATTTTTAGATACTTTAGGGAAGCAGCGTCACTTACTTCAGCTGAGAAAAAAATTTTCTCACCTTGAGAAAATTTTTCTCTTGAATATTTGATACCCATTTAATATTATTTTAGCGTGCAATTATACATATTGAATGAAAAAAAAAATGATGAAATATTATTTGATCTTCCCATTTGACATGTTAATCAATAAAAATATTAATGAAAATTTGCTTCTATCTTTATATTTAATTTTTTGGAGCAAGAGAGAAATTTTCTCAAGATAAGAAAATTTATTTCTATCAAGAACTAAATTTTTTGGAGCAAGAGGCTGAATTTTTTCAAAACAAGATTTTCTTGACTTAAATAAATTTTCTTGGATCAAGATACGTATTTCTTAAAGCAAGAGAATTAATTTTCGAATAAGTGAAATTTCTCTTAAAAAAAAAATTTTTTTTTCTCAAGAAAATAATTAAAAAGAAAAATATTTTCTTGGCTCTTGAACCTTTTTTCCTGTGCACACTGATAGAAAGATTTATTTGAACCAAAAAATATTAAAATATTCCTTAGTATTTAAAATGGTTTGTTTATATTTAATAAATCTGATATTCATTCATTAAATCTTTTTAAATACTAAGAAATATTTATTAAGAATTAAAAAGTGATCTCTAAAAAATGATTTGTTAAATATTAACAAATTGTAACTATAAACAAATCCTTCTATCAGTGCAGAGCAAGCCACGTGAATCAGAGTTTCCTACAAGCAAAAAAAAAAAGGATTGGTACATTCGACCTTACGACACTCAATAAAAGTGAAACTATAATTACCATAATTAAAAATCAGGATGATTAAAAAGTAATCCTTGCAATCAATAAATTTTTATCACTCGAAAGAGTGTCATGACCTCATCTTAAAAATAATTTCTCGCTATCAGTGGCGTTAAAACTAAACGTGAGGTCTAAAGCAAAAGCAAGTTTATGCAAACTACCGTTTTCGGAGAGACAAAGCAACAATTGGCTACAACACGGTACGCGGGATAAATAAAAGAAGAAAAAAAAAAGAGAAAACAAGAAGCAGGTTAATAAATATGACAATAGTACGTAATAAGAAAAGGTATTGAATTAAATGAAATGGCGCCGGTGTCTTGGCATCAGGAGTTGTTGAATGCATCTACCAGCACAGTGTAGAGTGTCTCTAGCCTGCAGGCGTCGTCGTCTATGTTTAGCATTCAAGCAAAAGCATTCGTAAGTCTAATTGAACAAGTGTATGTCTACATACATTTATACATAAGTGCATACATGTAATAAGCTATGCCGCACCTCTTTCATTTAATTCTTTTTGTATGGTCGGTAACCGCGACCTGCATTACGCACTCGACGAGCACGTACTAATGTTTCGTTGTACTAAAGTACACCACTAAAATACGTACGTACAACAAGTACATACTGATACCCACATGTATATTTATGTACAATACAAAAACAATGTTCGCAAGAGTAGTAACGCAAGATGAAGGAACAAAAATAGTTGCAACCTGCTAACTCTTGCCAATACAATTCAACCAAATGACTCATGTTTGGTCTGCTCATAAACTCTAAACATTTTTGTTTTACATTATTCACTCTTGGACTACTTTTTATTATTATATTATTATTCAATTACATGGAGATGTATTTCATTAAATGCTTTCGATTTATGGGATAGTCTGATAAATTTTGCGTCTTAAACAAAATTTTAAATATTTTGTGTTAAAAATTTTTATGTTAAATATTTAGCACTATTTTGTGTAGATTTAATAGAATAAATGTTCAATTTACACTTAAAAATGTTCAATATTTAACACAAAAATTTTTAACACCAAGTTTTTTGACGTAAAATTTTTTTAAGATGTGAGAAAAAAAATTGCTTTTGAATAAACTGAGGAATTTTGTGATAAAAAAATTTATTTATTCAAAATTTCATATTTTTGGATAAAATTGATACCTTATCTTTTTTTGGTGTTGTTGATATATTTTTTTTTTAAAAGTAAATAAAAAAACAAACAATTAAAAAAAAAAAAATTCCTAAAAAATTAAGAAAAATAAAATAGAAATTTCGTTAAAAAAAAATGAAAATTAAAAAAGTTGACCCTATTTGTAAATAATTACCTTTTCTTGTTGAAAAAAAATTTTTTTATTTTTAAGAAAAAAAAGTTTTTGATAAAAATTCAAAATTTATTTTTAAAATTGTTTTTTTCCAATTAAAAAATTAATTTTTTCTCTGTATATAACTATTTACGTCTTTTATTTTGTTTCATCGATCTTTATTAAAGTGAAATGAAAAATTTACCTTCAAGTGCCGGAGTTTAATTAGTACGTCAATACTAATTAGGCTTTAGAAAATTTTTTAAGTCTTTCAGCAAATTGTCAGTTACAAACGGGGAGAGTTTGCGTGCTTGTTAGTCCATTCGCGTCAAGTGGTTTCACGTTGAGTGTCGAGTATTTTTCTTTACTCTTACCACTGTCTGCAAATGGTAACAAGGACGAAAAAAATTTATCTATAGATTAGTACCGTCTCTCAACTTTAGAGAAATTTATTTATCTGTGCATATGTATATATTTATCATTATTATTACACATTGCTCTAGTCCTGGCCCGCTTAAAAATAGTGAACCAAACATCTACTTTTATTTTAACGCTTTTAAGCCGATCAAAGTTCATTTTAATTATATTTACGCGGTAACTTTCTACAAAATTAACGATCATAAAGACAATTAAATAGACTATTGCTATTTTTAGGTAATAAAATTATTTTATAAAAAATAAATAATATCCACATATACACAGAAAGAAAAATTTCTTGACTTAAAGTTGTGTTGGCCGAAGTAAAAATTTTTCGAGAAATTCTATTCTTGGTGGAAGTCATTTTTTCTTAATTCAAATTATCATAAAATAATTTTTTTTTGCTCAAGAAAATAATTAGGAAGAAAAATATTTTCTCGGCTCAAGTGAACCTTTTTTCTGTCCATATACCTTATTTTGTTTATCTTTAACTGTTTTTTACGGCAAATACTTTTTATGAACTAATATTGTCATTTGAGATATCGTAAGTTCTCATAACAAAGTTTACACAAAAACATCCGTAACTTTATATATATATATATGACGGGCAAACGAACCCTTATGAGATATCGTTGTCAAGTGTTGTACCTGAGAATTTACCAAGATATTTATTTTTATTTGTTTATGTTTGTTAACACTAACAGAAATATATGAAGAGATACTGAAAAAAAAAAAAATAAATAAATAAATCTTTAGTAAGAAAATAAAAAAACTTAGATATAATTTTTTATTTGCACTGAAATCAGTACAAGTTCACTTAGTGCATAAAAAGTGAAAGCGTATACATATTAACACATTTATGGGGAGAGATAAAAAAAAATAAAAAGGTTTTACGCGTAAATTAAAAACCGGAAGTTGTAATTTTATTAAAATTTAAAAATAAAGTCATTTTTATTTAAATTTATATTTTAATAAAAATGTCTTGGTTGGGTAAATCTAATTAAATAAGGCGAAAATAAAGAATTAAGACAGTCAGAGGAATATAAAAGTTTAAGTACGAAAGTGGCGTCGACGATCGTGTTGAATATTTTTTTGGACGACTAGATAAAACAATCGGGACGGAAATCAAAGGTCATGGCATTCCTGATCGGTCAGGACAATTTTAGCTAACGGCCTGCTCGTCATTCGACGTACTTAAAACTTGTTCTAACTCCCGACTTGAGACAGATTTAAAATTGTAAAATAAAATAGAGTTGAATAAAAAAAAAAAAAAATCTCTACACCGTCAATCAGAAAATAAATCACTTTTAACCTTTTTATCACTGTTTAAGATATTTCAGGCATTTAGGTATTAAATTTTTATTTGTGATAATATTTATAATATATATTTTATCACAAACTATTTACATATTTTTCTACCTACATTACACATAACATCTAAACTCACTGTTTATCGTATTACCATCTGTCAGCGTGTCACTTGTAATATAATTCTACTCTTATTTTTTTTTAGTTTAAATATTTTATTATGTACTCACCGATTTTGATCCAAGGATTCATTTTCTGTTTAAATATTTTTTATTTATTTATTTATTTACACACTAAATAATTATTTTTAATTTTTTTTTTTATTTAACTGCATAAACGTCAAACAATTCTAGTTCTGGTTACGTTCTGGTGCCAAATGACAGCCAAACGTCTTCTTGACGTTTGTTTTATTTTTATTATCTCGCTATACAAAGCGGGAAATTAAAAAAAAAAACATATGAGTACTTTAATAATAATAATAATTATTTTAATTATAAACAAAAAAAATTAGCCAACATTCAGCGATATTCAAGGAGCCGAAAATGTCAGCTGTCAAAAAAATAAATTAAATAGTAATTTATTTTAAAAAGTTTATTTATTATCTTAATTAATAATTACTTATTTAATCGGCTAGTAATAAATTAACGATGTCTTTCGCCGAGTATGGATCAAGTATTTTTTTCATGGGAAAAAAACCGCTGGACCAAGGAGACGGCTTGGCTAATAATAATGATAAGTACTTTGGATGTAGATTAAAAATGATGGACTCTTGCAATGATTTACGAGCCTGGAGTTCAGATCCTTTTGAAAATTTTCGATATTTTCGGGAAATTACTGAAAATGGAGATGTATGTATTTTTAAATTAAACTATTAGTAAGGAATTCAGTGTGAAGTTAGCTAGTGTCGACAGATGAGACATCTTAAAAATTTGTAGTTAAAATTCTTCACTAATTTCTTCTTTAATAATTTTTTTTATCCAAGTTACAAGTATAAATTTGTTTCAGAAATTTTTATTTTAATTGTGTTGTTAATTACTGATTTATCAATTTTTTTTTTTTTTTTATAATTATTATAGTGAAAGATAAAATTTTATGACATTAAAGCTAGCAGTCTTGGTCAATTTTTAATTTTTTTTTGAACAAACAAATCTGTTTTGAAAAATTACTTAAAAAAATTGAATTTTTAATTAAAATTTCTACATGTCAATTTTTTTGCCATAATTCATTTGCTAAAAAATTCTTAAAATTATTAAATACCTGCTAAATTAATTTTCATAACAATTATTCATGATTTTAAAAGCAGAAATTTGTCAATTTTTAATTTTTTGAATAAAAATTATGAGAAAAAAATATTTTTTAAAAATTGCGCTTAGAATTAATAAAATTTTCTACATGTCAATTTTTTTTGATAAAAAAATTGATGATATTAAATTTAGTTGTGACGACAATTATTTAATTTTTTAACACATTAATGTGGTCCAAAAAATTATTTCTAAAAAATTACATTTTTAGTCTTTTAAAATTTTTATATGTCATTTTTTTTTGTCACAATTTGTTTGTTAGAAAAATTCTTAAAATTATCAACAATTTGCAAAATAAATTTTCATAAAAAATATCCAGATTGCTAATTTAATTTTAATAAAACATTTTATTTTTATAATTTAATTTTTGTCACCAATATCTTTTTTTATCAAAGTCAAGAAACTGAGATTCGCCAAATATAAGTTAGGTCATATTTCTAACCTATGAATAGATTAATTGAGAGAATTTTTTAATTTTAGCAAGTCAAGACTAGAGAAATGGTTCCACATTTACCAGAAGGAATGAGTGTAGAAGATGTCAATAGAGTAAAAGAGTTAGAATTTTTGAGACGCGAATTAGCTAAATATAAAGCACTTAAATTAACTCCCGAACAAAAAAAACAATTAGGACAACCGGTAACTATAAATAATTATAATTTATATATTTAGTTGATTGATTAATTAATGTGTTAGGATTTCGGTGAAGAATTCTCAAAAGGAGACTGGACAATTTTTAATTTCTTCTCAAACCAACTAGACAGATTAACTAATTACGGAGGAACACTTCTGGGTGCTTCTAGTCCAACTAAAATAGAAGAAATAAATAATAAAGGTTTACCGTCAGCTCGGTCAAAGCCACTAAAAAGTAAAAGTAGAAAAAATAATATTAAACGAAAGTCGAGCACTGATATTTCGTGCTCTATTCCAAAAGACTCAACCAGCCAGTCCACTTCTTCTCAAGTAAATTTAATAATTTTTTTTTTTTTAACAATTTATTGTTAAATTAAATAAACAAAACATTTTTAATACTTAGTGCGGAATCGCTGATGAATGTGAAAGTGATTCAAGCTCTGGATCCAGTCGCGGTTATAATTATCAGTTTAATAAAAGAAAAGTCAATCGTAATTGTACTTATGATGATGAAAGTGAAACATCAACAGACTCGAATCGATCGTATATAATTAAATCAGAATCAATAATTATTTCATTAGAAAATGAATTGAAGGTTGTTATTTAATAATATTTTATATTGATCATTATTGAAATTAATTTTATTTTTTTTTCAGGCGAAAGAGTCAGAAGTCGATGAGCTGAAGAACCTGAGCCGGGATTTAAAATACTCATTGCAGAATCGTGATATGCAGATTAAAAATCTTAAAGAAAGCCTCGCGGTAATAAATAATAAAATTTATTGGCAAGTGTTAGAAGTAGTATGAACTTTAAATAATTTTCTTGTAGAAAACTCAATTAAATCTACAAAATATAATAGACCAGCGCAATAATGAGTTGGATGAATGGAGACAGAAATTAGAAAACAGTAGGAATTTAATAGAATTAATGAATCGTAAACTAGAGGAAAAAAGGCATCAGTGTTACGAGTTAGTCCAAGAAATAAATCACCTGAAACAAGATAATAATTTGCAAGGACTGAGGACTGAACGTGATTCTTTAGCTGTATGTATTAATGAATTAATCTATTTTATTAAGAAAAAATTACCTTGTATCTTGTAAATTATTGACATTTTTGAAGATATAAGCTCATCTTGATGTTCCTCTCATTAAGACCTTTTATTTGAGTACCCACATCAATTTTTCATATATTTTATATATTTATATATTTCACAAATACTATATATATATATATATATAAAATATATATAAAAAATTCCATGTGGGTACTCAAATGGAAGGTCTCGATGAAAATAACATTAGGATGAGCTTATATCTTTAAAAAAGTCAATACTTAAAAAAGTACAGTGCAATTTAACATAAGTCATTATTTAATAAAGCAAAATTTTATTTATTTATAATTCACAAGTCACAGCAATCACACAGTGATTGCAAGGTTGCTAGTAAATTATTATTGATTTATAACGTGAATTTTAAAAGTTAAGTTTTGATAATGAAATTGTGACTTAAAAATTGGAATATTTACTTTTTTTTTCTTACAGAAAAAATTGGACGATGTAGCAAAACTTGTAAAAGATGCAGGAAATTATGGAGCGGGTATAGAAGGAATGAAAGCATTGATCCGCGAACGGAATGACTTGATTGAATGGAAACGGCAGTTCGAGGTGCATTACAGCGACCAGGAGTATGAAATCGATCGTCTGAATAAATTAATAAACCGTATCGAGGAAGAACGCGAGACTCAACGACTAGAAATGTCAAGAATAACCGAGGAATTGGAGGAAGAACTCAGAAATAAGTCCGATGAAATTGATTATTATCAAGAACAAATTAATCATTACAAGGAACACACGAAACAGTTAAAGAGGGAATTAGAGAAAAGTAATGAAGCCAAAGAAAAAGACTCTATGAGTGACAGAGATCTTGATAGTACCTTTGCGATGTACTTGAAAAAATCTAGCGAACAAATTAACCAGCTGTCTACTGCTCTTCATGGTAATTTATTTCCTCAAGGCCGTCAATTTAATTATTCATTGTATTATTTTTATTCTAGGTGCGGGTAATGATGTTGAGAAAAGCAAAAACGAGATAGATATTCTTAAGAAACAGATTTCACAGAGTTTGTACAATGAAAAGTTGTATCAGTCACAGTGGGAGGAATGCCAGAAGCAAATCGATAGTCAGATAAATGAAATTGAAAAATTACGTCAATATAATGATAAATTAAATAAAGATATCCAGAATAATGTTAATTTGAAGTATGAACTCAATGAAATGACGTCAAAGTAAGTTAAAAAAAATTTTTAAGAATAGTATATTACACACCTAGGGAAGTAAAGTAAGAAATGCGGTCAACAGATTTTTTTTAGGAAAAATAATAATTAAATTGATTTTTTTCTTAGAGTTGCTTCACTCCAAAAAGAACACTCGAATTTGACAAATAAATTAAAACATTTGAACGAATGTTTAAAGGCAAAAAACTACGAAGTTATTTCTCTGCAAGAGGAAAAACAAAATTTAGAAAAAAAAATTGCTAGTATTCTTGCTGAGTTGGAGGAAAAAAATAGTAAAATAAATTTACTGGAGCAAGAAAACTCAGAGATTTATAAAAAATTACAAGACACTGAGAAAGATGTGAAGGAAGTGTCAGAAGAGATACAGTCTATCAAATATAATGATGAAAAAATATTGCAGATAAAAATGTTAGAGCAACAATTGATGAAACGTTCTAAAGAAAAATGTAAGCTAGAGGATGCCGTGAAAGATTTGCGGAAAGAATATACCGAGTGTAAGAATTTAAATAAACAGCTTGAAGATAACTTGACAAATAAGTCTAATCAAATAATAATTATCAAACGAGATATTAAACGATTGACTAGTGACTTGAGCGATAACATTTATTCTGATGGTAGTATTATTAAATTCCCGGATAAATTCCACGAGAGCTTGAGTATTCTGATGAAACATGTCGAGTTGGAGAGTTGCAATGAAAAAGGCTCAACTGATTTTAATGATATTGACTGTGATAATATCAAAGATAGAGAAGATAGTATCTCTAAGGCGTTTAATGATTCAGATACTGATCAATTAATAAACTCGATTGTGCGTGAAAATAAGGACTCGGCTATGAAAGACGACCGTGCTATGCTTGAAGAGATAAAGCAAAATTACAAAGCGGCTTTGAAGCCGATGCTAAAAAATTTATCTAGCTGCGTAGCTAAAAAATTCGATCCTCAATTATTTGACAATGAGAGTGGATTTATAAGTGAGGGTATCTCGTCAATGAAATCCCCTAATGATATCAGTAATTATCATCATCATCAATTAGATAGTATACCTACTTATTTAAATACAATTAAATTGAATCAAACTAATCAACCGGATTTTAACAATGATTTGTCCGATAATCAAAGCAAAAATAAACACGATGATAATCGACACAACATTTTATCTAAATACAATAATGATAAATCACGACAAAGGTATTTATATATTTGTTTTAAATATCTAAAACATTATTATTATTATTATTATTTATATTATTATAAATATTTAGGCTACATTTAAAAATGCTCTCTAATCTATCTCTAGATACATAATTGAAAAACGACCCTGTATCTAGTGAACTATTGACATTTTCAAAGATATAAGCTCATCTCGATGTTATACTCATTAAGACCTTTCATTTGAGTACCCACATCAATTTTTCATATATTTTATATATATATATGAAAAATATATCAAAAATGCATGTGGGTAGTTAAATGAAAGCTCTTGATGAGTATAACATCGGGATGAGCTTATATGTTTAAAAACTTCAATATTTAAGAAACTATTGTGCAATTTAACTAGTCATTATTTAATAAAGTTATTATTATTATTATTATTATTATTTTATAAATTATTTTTTTCAGAAACATTCAATTTATTAACAGATGTTGCAGGCGTTTAAACAAAAAGTATTGACGAATTATTGAACCGAATGATTGATAAATAAAATTATTAAGTAATATTTTAAATAAAAAATGAATTAAACACAGTAATAATTAAAACTGAGTATTTATCTGAAAGTGGTGGTATCTAGAGTCAAGCGCGTAAATCACATGGTTAAATAAAACTCTTGGTAAGTACCGACACTCTTTTCTCACTTAATATCTGACATTATCTCAATTTATTTACATAATTTACATGCTTATTTATTTAAGTACAACAATAATAGTATAAATAAATAAATAAATAAATAAATGAATACAAGCAGTGTTCACTCCAGCACTGGATAATACTGAATTGTCCATTAATTATTTTAATTAAAATATAAATATAAATAAAAGCCGGGATTTATTATTGAATTTTCGGAGGATTTATTTTTAATCTTTAGTAAAAAGATCTAATGCGTGGTCCCTGTCTTCAGAAGCCGCTCGAGGCGGAATAATAACATCAATAGCTGTAAAACTCTCCAAATCTGGTGAACTACTGGTCTGAGGAATAATATCAGCAGGTGAGGGCACGCAGTCAGTAGTTTTGCGCCTGGATTGGGTTGAATCCAACGGACGCTTCCACCGGAATATTTTTCTCTTCTTGCTGCTGCTGACCGAGCTTTGTCGTCTGACCAAAAATCTTGTCCGTGATTTTTTGGATTTTGAAGCGACTGCAGAGTTAGACTCCTCGGAAGCTTGCTGCTTTAAAGATTTGTCGGTGTCTGGAAGATGTTCTTGGGAGAACGCCGAGTTGAAGAACCCTTGGAGGTCGTCATTAGGCTCGTCAGAGCCACAACTGACGCTAATGGAAGGCGGAGGACTCTGGAGCGACGAAGACTTGGGTGTTTCGTAAGACAAAGTACTTTCTTGGAGATTCGTTGCACTGGGCCAGGGCTGGACGCTCACCCGGCTCAGCTTTGCTAAAGGAATGAACCGCTTTCGGTTTAGCTCCAGCCACTGGAGCGACCGGGAATTTCTTTTCACCGCCCCTGGAGTATGCTGGCTCCGATCGATTGACAGCTCTGATGCCAGAGACTCTACGGGTTCTGGATTATCCAGCTGAATAATTGTTTCGGTAGTGCTTTCAGTCTTCTTTGGAGTCGCTGAAGGTGACCCAATGATCTGGCTAAAACAAGTGTTTATAATTTTTTTTATTTATTATAATTTAAATCGTTGATATATCACCGTTATATATTATATTTATGTATTTTTTAGTTTGCCATTGGCATAAATGTTGATTAATCTATATTATTGAGGTGTGCCTTTTCAAGGTTTCATATTATTCTAACCAATAGTCACTTTATTATGATAAGTGTTTAGGCTGCATTTGAAAATGCTTTATCTTTAGATACATAATTTTAGAGACCTTGTATCTCGTGAACTATTGACATTTTTAAAGATATAAGCTCATCCTGATGTTATACTCACTGAGACCTTTCATTTGAGTACCCACATGCATTTTGATATATTTT